TTGCGCAAAGCTCACTTACAAACTCACTTATAGAAATTAGAACCAAAGTCTGAGATAAAATTTCAAATTAAAGATTCCAATGTTTTTTTGCTAATTAAGAGGCTAACATAGTTTTAATATCGAAATGAGAATATACAAATTTAGGTGGCATTTGGTAGTGTGTAAATATCGTGGATAACGGTCCCGTCTATGGTAAGATATGGTGTTTTGCTATATGTGAATGGTTCTCATCCACAACATAGTGTGGATAGGGACGGGCCACACCCAATTTATCGTCCATAATATTTTCTCGTAGATGGTCCACACTATGGTGTTCACAGTTTGTGGGAAGGTTTTACTGTAACGCACCTGCATTACATTGGTCAAATTACTCTCATTTTATTTAATGTTTTAATAATTTTTAAATTTTTAATATTTTATCAATAAAATAGTAATTTTTAATGTTAATTCTAGCATAAGTCTGACGGTTCGCCTTCTCAACTCTTTTTTCATTATTTAAATATTAATTTTTAATATTTTTATTAATAAAATAATATTTTTTTATTTTTTTAATATTTAAAACAATATTTTTAATTATTTAAAAATGCAATTATTGTCTACATATTGATGCATTTTTTTTTCAATTTATTTAACATATAAAATGTAAAAATTAGACATTTATGATTGACAGTGTAGATCTCCCATAAAATGTATATGAGATACATGGAATAAAAAAGTGTGGTGTGGACTATCTACACCACACCTACAGAACGCCACTGTGGGTGTGGACTGGTCTAATCCACACAATTTATCCACAATTTAGAATAGTTGTGGGTGGTGTGTGTTAGTGTCGTGGTAAGGCGACAAAGGTTGGTCCGGTCTCTGTAGCGACGGGAAAGAGAGATAACGTGGGGAAGAGAGAAGAAGAGGGGAGAGAAGGGAGAGTTTCCTTGTGAAAAAACCCTACGTCAAAGTTATATTGTATTGTCTGATGTGGAGGAGAGTTATTCCCCCCTTTTTATTGAAAGGACCCCAAAGGTTATAAGGAGAAAGATCTAAGAAGAGACATTTTCTATTAGGAAATGGGTTTTTTATCTTTATGTTGGTTATTAAGGGAGCAACATTGGGGTTTTGCCACGTGTCCAGCGAGATCCTTAAAAGACAAAGTTTTCTTTCTCTTACGGATTCTCTCATGGCACGTGTAGGCTACATCCCCTTACGGGTTTCCTAGTGGGCACGTGTTAAAGGACAAGACCGGTGATACGATCGCAAGTCTTAGGCGACACCCATTGTTCATTGTGGGTCCCGAATGATGTTTTATGCTCATCGCAAGTCTACGATGGTTTGTTAAGCTCATTGCAAGTCTTTGTGGGTTTTGAGATCATCGCGGATGTGAACCGGGTCATGGACTTATTGTGAGTGTTCTTGTGGTATCGGTTCAGCACCTTCTGTGCCCCCGCAGTCATGGCGATCAACATATACCTACAGTGTGAATTGGTCCTTACCACAGGTGTGGTGTGGACCAGTTCACACCCATCAATTTCTCATGCACACTATAGAACGCCCCCTTAATATCTAGTTTTAATTCCACTTTGACAAATTTTGTTGTGGCTTAACCTAGATTTCCTAGCTATCATGCTAATTTGTTTGCAGTGTAAATCTGAGTCAGATGCAAGTTTTGCACCCTTACCTGATATGGAATTTCATTATATTTTATTTTATTTTTTGTGTGCGTGTTTCGTTTGCACTCATTGGCAATGCAAATTTCGCATCCCCAAAACTGGTGTAAAATTTGCACTGCCTTCTTCCCATCTCAATTCTCTCTTATATAAAGTGTGGATCATTATACTTCCTGCCCCACTCTCAAAGAAATTGTACTCCTCTTACATAGATTCTCTTTTCATATAAGGTGGGGATAACATCATTTTACTTGTTATTTTTCAAAAAAAAAATTATTTTACTTCTTATTTTATTTCTCACAAATAAATAAGACAAAATCAAATATAAAACAAAAAGTAAATCAGAATTTGCATTCAATATATTAACACTCATGCATTTACACCAGTGCAAATAAAATATGCATCACAAATAATTAAACTGAACCATAAGAGAGTTTTAAAAGTAGATAGCTTTCTCATTTCCCATCAATCATAAAAGTTTGAATAGCTCATTATAGCATTCCCAAGGTAGGCATATAAAAATAACTTTAACATGAAAAGAAAAAATCTTTCAATTCTAAACATTGTAGAATTGACGAGCCCTCACAATAATCATTTGGGCAAAGATTTAACTGGGGTATTTATGCACTTTGGTTTGTGTTTGCGAGCATTTATTTGATATATAAAAAAGTAATGATTGTCAGATTAAAAATGCATTTTTTTCACTTTTGTACTTTGAGAGGAGAGTATTGCTGTACCTAATTTTTTTATACAATTTTATATTTTTTTTTATAATTAACTTTTTGACCAAAGTTAAGACATTTAGAGCATAAGATAGTTGGAGCATTTAATTATAGACCCACACTTTACACTGATTTCAAACAAACAAGATGAATATAAAAACGGTTTAAAATATAAATCACGTTTACATTCATGAACCGAAAAAAAGGGTAAATATACAATGTAAATGCAACCAAACGTAGCCAGAGGAATTTTCGAGACGCAGATTCTGATATTCTGAATTGAGCCCCACATAGAAACCTCTTAAGCTGTGTTGAGTGAAAATTTGAAATATCAACATGGGTGTTCCAAAGTCCAAACGCGAGAATTACTCTGAATAGTTTATTAATTATTACTAGAAACACAGGTGCTCAACCAACGTAGGAACCGTCCCAAACGAGGCCTTAAATCAAGTGTAACAGACTAAATAACTTACTGTATGGTTATCATTTTTTTAACATTTGAGTTTTGATGTACCATCTCCATTGGGGAGTTGAGTTTGAATTGAATCGCCTCCCTATATACAGACATTTAATGGAGTCTCTCCACAACAATATTATTTGAATAAATTTATTAAATCGAAACATAAATTAATTCTTAATCTATAATAATTAATACCAGTTGGTCCGACCAAATTGTTTTTTAATGGAGGTGATGGGCCACCCCATTGACAACCTTACTTCCATTAATAAAATATCCCTCCATTTAAGGCAAAACGGTAAAAGTAGATATAATGTTATTTTGAAAACATGTTGAAATGCTAGAAACTGCCACATGCCATCTATAAACAATGCCCATTTGTTTGTTTGTTTGTTTTGGGGATTAAAGGGCTCCACACCTCATAATTCAGAATACTTGATAGTTGATAAAGAAAAAGGAAAAAGGAGAAAAAGCAAAAAGCAAAAAAAGTAATTCAAGAAGGAGTAGCTAAAGCTGAACTGAGATCTAAGCTTATGCAATCAGCATTCAGCAGCTCAGAAAGCACATGTCCAAGGTAGATTCAAATGTTATATAGTATTCTGATTTCTGAGATCAGGTGGAGGTGGAACCAGGCAAATTAATTAATTATCGTGTACTGTGTTGGTTAAATATTTGAATTTTGGACGGCAAAATACATGCACCATAAATTTGAAAGGGATGCCGCATAAAAGCGAGACCTCTCCTCCTTTCTGCCTTGTGAGACAGTTTGCTTGCTTGAGGGGGAATTGAATGGATCACATTCATCACCCCAAAAGAAGAAAAAACAATCTTTCACAGAAGGATGGACTATATAAAAGTGGTCTGAGTTGCTCAAGCCGGGTCGACCACAAGATGAATGGATATACACATTTGTTTCTTCTGCCCGGTTCGGCCAGGCGATTCTGATCCATTAGACCCGTTGGATTACTGGATCAGGTATGGACGGTATAGTTTTGTAAGCAACATAGAAGCATCGAGGTTTTCGAACCATAATTGATGCGGATGGTCGGATTGTTCGGCCTGGAGACCGGCGGTCAGGATATCAGTTCTGATTTAGCCTTAAATCGATATTTTTCCTAAGAATAATTGAATTGGTTGCTAACTCAGGCAGTTGAACCATCGGTGACCAGTCAACCTGGACGATGATTAATTCTCAGGCCAAACCATTTAGACCGGACTGACCGGCCAGAGCAGTTCTGGTTCCGGATCCGTTTTTAAAACATTGAACTGCATCAATATAGCAATGAATCATTCGACAGTTATGCTGCCAAAAAAAAAAAAATCAACAGTTAGTATATAGCAGAGCACATCTGGCGCCAAATTATTTCTTTAATATTGCCAGATATTCTTTATTTATTGTTTTCTAAACATTTGGCCTATAATCAATAGACAAGTGTAATGTTGTTTATTTTCCATCAGAGGCCACGTGGGCAAATTGTTTTTCATATTTCAAATTATCAAATTATGCAAATTAGTCTTTCTTCGACCCTATACAGTTTGCATTGATCTCTTTTTCATAATCTAAAAATCAAGAATCAAAGTATTGATATGATATACTTTGTTTCCGTTATATCTTACTTTTATATCGATGATCTTGGAGACACATGATACACACTGATACAAAGTATATTATGGCTTTGCTCAAAAAAAGAAAAAAGGTAAGAACTTCAGGCAGCAATATCAACAAGCACAACCTGTTTTATTCTTCTTCTTGTTTACAAGAAATAAAGGTGCTATCAATCTGGTTCATAGATCCAACCCGATGCAATATTCTTACGGTTACGGGGATGAACCAAAGATATAAAACCATATTCACCAAGCAAATGCAAATTCTTGGGTCATTGGGTCATGGCCCAAGTTGCATGGGTTTAACGTTGTAAATTCATAGAATTCGGTAAAAACAACAAATTAATTCAAAATGACTGAGTTGGTGAACGTAGGTACGATAATTGACCGGTTGCAGCCGGTGGCCAGCCGTTGGGGATTCGAATTATGAGAGCGGACTAGGTTGAGAAAACAACAAACACTCGACAGGGACGGCGGATATCTTTGACAAATTTCCATTGTGTCAATCTGAGCCCTTCATACGCTACAAACTGTTCGACATATAACCATAGGGTTTGAACTCTGGAAGTCCGCCCCTTTCTTGTTTGAAAAATATACCTGAACCGTCTCTCTCTCTCTCTCTCTCTCTCTCTCAGACACACACATCTTCGCTTTGCAGATTTCGACGTGCCTTTGTAGATCTTTCATTCTTTCTCCATCTCGGATGAAAAGAGGGCGATTTCTTCATTAGTATCTGCAATGTGCACTGAATCGATTGTCTCATTGACCTCATCGATTCAGTATCTGCATCGGTTCTCTGGTTTTTGCTGTTCGAAGCTCAATACGGTGCGATTTTCTTGTTTTGCTTCCCTTTATCTTTCCTCCAACTGGCTTTCAGTAATCTCTTTCTGATCTTCATCATGCTTTAGTTTAAGGAATAATTTGTATAAAATTTGTAGCAGTGCAGCCCAAAATCCTTGATGTCTTCTCAAAGAAAAAAAAAGAAAGCTAATTATCTCTAGGAGAAGTTGATTCTGGTTAGGGTTTCCTAGGTAGAATCGAAAATGTCGTGGGTGTTGTTAATGGGTCGATTGGGGTGGTTTAAGTTGTACTTTGTTTATTGAGAGCTTGTTGAAAATTAGGTTTGGCTTTGGTTGGGGTACCTTCCCTTTTTAATTGGGCACGTAATAAAAAAATTGGGTTTTGTTGGTGGCTTCTATGTTTTTGGTTTGAAATATAACGTCACCATTTTTGCGTTATCTTGAAATTTTATGGGGTCGATGGGGGCAAGGCTTCAGTTTCTACTTGGTTGATTGCAACCATTTAAACTTTGTAGACTCTAAGAACTCAAATAAGTTTACCTATTTTTTTAGGTTAACTTCTGAAACACATAGATTGACAGGTTTTAATGGACTAATTTGTAGTTTAGATCTTGCTTGCTTGTTGAAAACTTTTACTTAATCTTGTTAAATAGAAGCAAAGATCTTAATTTTATTGTTCCTTTTTCACCTTGAGAATGGCTTACAGAATTAAGAATTAATCAGACAGTAGAAGATTTAGTGAAACATGTATGCTTCTTTTACTTGCACAAAAAAAAAAAAAAAACTTTGATTGATGAAATGTAACTATGAGTTTTTCCCTATTCAGTTAATTGTCTTGCTTTTACGTTTCCAAAAATAACCTCTCACTGGCCAGACTTAACTAGCCACAGAGGCATTGATCCATTTGGTTTATCTTGACCTCTTATTCATTTCAAGATCATTTGGGAGTTTGGATTTTCTTTTCCTCAAGTGGATGTTATTTCCATGGTTTAATCGTGCCTTATATTCATATCAGCATAGCCCTACAATGTGTGGCCTATAAGGAATGTACCCTATCTTAAATAGTTTGTATAAATCTCATAAGTTGTTGGTGTTTCTTTATTTTGGATACAGTTACTCCGCATCTCATGCCTTGATCTTTGTTTTTTTTTTTTGCAATTAAGGATTTTAAGTTTTTCTCCATTTCTAAGTTTTCATTCATTTTTCCTGTGTAGCTGGTAGTCTTGCCCTTCCAAAAGGAAGATCTGGATACTGTTTAGGGAAGCATATGATGGTTAGTGGAACCTGTTCTGGAGAAAATTGTCACCGAGTGGGAATTGGGGTATGTGGTTTAAACTTCTGGTCAAGGAACAATGGCAACTGACAAGACAAAAGGTGCAAGGAGAGTTGAAGCTCCTGTTGGTGCTCCTCCAGATGGGAGCAGTGAGAGTTTTCAGAAAATGCGTCCTTTGAATGGGTAAATTCGAAAAGGCTCTTCCATCTCCTTTTCCTATGTGTTTAAGATTTAATTAATTATACATCATTGTGTTGTTCTTTAGTTGCTAAGTTGATTTTCCAACTCTAGCTATATATTGACATTTTTCTACATGTTGCTTCATGCTTACTGATGTTGTGTCCATCTGAATGCTTGATTTTGATCTCTTAAGATGCATAAGAGAAACATTACCTCTTCTCTGTTTCTCTCTCATACACACACACACACACACACTCATAAACATGTTTACTGTCTGATTATTTATTGCATTTTTTGAAGTTCTATTACTGGGTATATTTTACTGGGAGATTCTCATATGATCAAAATTGACACTTACTATCATGTGATACTTTGATAGGCGGACTAGTGGCCCTACAAGGCGCTCTACGAAAGGGCAATGGACAACTGAAGAGGTAATACTTATTTTTATGAACACTGATATAATAATTCCTCCGCATGAAAAAAGTTTTTGTCTACTATCACAACTGTTGGACTTACTTGAAAAAATGATTTGTCAATTGTCATCTTATTGGGCCACCATTTAGGACCCACATATCATGGATCTTTATAGCTGTTTCAGTTGTAGAGCCCACTAACAATATACCATTGTGTTCCATGAACACCGATATTGATTACTGAATCCTTTGGGAGGGGGTATCTGGGTGGTTAGTGGTTATTCAATTCTTTTCCAAGGATCACACAATTTGAGTCCCATGAGAACTAAATGTAGAATCTTTTTGGGGTTTCTTGGTAGATATAAAATCTCATGTATTGCCCAATACATCCCTTTATATTTTGGGGAGAAGAATGTATTGTTTAATGGTGTTCTCTTTGTGGCTTTGGGGGTGCTAGCGGGACACAGTAGCATAATGGCTTAAAAGGTTATCATTTCTTTTTGAAGCTTTTCAAAGTATCTGGATGCTTCAAACTCTCCTGTATAGAACTGGAATTAGTTGATCTTAAATTGAAAAGTTCCTAATACAAGATTTGCTACTGTTTGCCACTAAGCCTGGCCTATTGAATTGATTGGTTGTCTTAAGCTCTGTTTTATGCTTGCCTGTTTATTTTATGCCTTTTTTTGACAAATGGTATTTCTTTAATGCTTGCCTGTTTATTTTATGTTGTTTCTTCAAATGCATTTAATTTTTATCTTCGTCCTTTTTTTTCCCATCATTTTTTGCTCTTGCTTGTTTTTGTTGATTTAGTGGTCTTGGCTTCTCCATTCAGGATGCATTATTGTGCAAGGCTGTTCAGAAATATAAAGGAAGAAATTGGAAAAAAATAGGTAACTTTCATGGAACTTATGTGTTTTTGTTTCTATTTATTATATTTTTTTTGATAAATATTTCTATTTATTATATTCAAAACTAATATTAGTTTTTTTTTCTAGCTCATCACTTAGATTTACTTTGTTCTGATTTTGTCTTGCACTTAACAAGGAGTAATACATAATGAGCTTTAAAACCAACTCTGGTATTGCCTGAAATTCAAAGGAATCCTGAAATGTTAATATGTAGGACTGGCCACAGTTGGGTGAGGTTTCAAACATTTTGAAATTGTTGAAGACAATAATAACTAATTCAGCTGATAAGAAAAGACGATAACCAATTCAAAAGTTCCTGGATTCTGATTGAAATCATAACATTGTTGGGAATTGACAAGCTGGTTAATGGATCACTTTTTATGTGCTTCTTGTATCATTGCGATGCAATTTTAAGTTTGTTTCTCTACTGTACAATTCTAGAGAATGCTACTTTCTCTTGCTTGTTTGCCACTAGTTTGGGGCCATATGCTTTGTGCAACGGTATAATCTTGGCTTGGCAAGTGTGGAAACATGGTTTTGGGTTTGAGATAAGAGTGTTGAGAAGGGGAAGCCCTTGAAGGGGATGAAGACTGTGAGGATGGAGGCAAAGAAGGTGAGAATGGAGTGTCTGAAGGCTGTGAGGATTACTTAAAACTAGAAGTTCCAGTTGGAAGGCTTGGAGTTTATTAGGTCAAAGAAGAAGTTTTGTGAGCAGGGAAGGAGATGATGATGCATAAAAGGTGTTAAAGAAAGTGAGAGACTCAAGTAAGTTCCATATTGTTCATGTTTCAAAAGTTTTTTCAAGTTCAAAAGATGGTTTGATTGGGGATGATCCTACAAATAAGTATAAGACAATTTATAAGAAAAAGGAACAAAGACCAAATGTTTGGGGACGAAGGATTCTGAGGGGCGGAGAGCCGAGTCTCAAGCTCCAGATGGGGAGGAGGTGCAGCTGTTGGTTTCTCTTGAGGATAACTTGGAGAAAAGGTTTGGGCCAGAGGAAAAAGAGGAGGGTGGTCAAGAATTAGAAAAGAGCTTTGAGGAGTCTTAGTCGGGTAATGAGGAGGAGAAGAGGGCAAAAGTGAAGATTGAGAGTTTGTCTGACAGCAAATTTAGGGTCTTTTTTTTGGGGGCGGAGAGGAGTTTTCTAGAAGTGTGGGATGAGAAAGGTGATGGGCAAGAAGAAGTGTTCAAAGGAGATGATTAAGTTGCTCTTGAGCCGGGAAGCTGTACCTGTTTTTCTTTGTTTCGTTTGTGTCTGATATTTTTAATTGTCTTGGTGCTGTTGGGTTGGGTGTTATCTTAACACATTGGCACTGATTGTAATCAGTTTCCTTTCTTATTAATTTTCTTTCTTGTTACTTTTCAAAAAGAGGTCTAAGAGCATCCAATTAGTATGAAAAAATGCCAAAGGTCAGGTGCTATATGTAACTATCAAAAATACCAGTAATATTCAGCAAACACCTTGAGAGCAGGAGAAAGAAACAAGGATCCACATGACAGGTTAATGATTAAATAGACATTGAAGTGGGTCCAAATAAAAAGGGTGACAAAGGAATTTTTTTACCATGTCAACAAGGTTGTTTTGGAATATTCTGCAAACTAGCACATAGGATGGCACCTTCCCTATTTAAGGTATTCCAAAAAGTTATGGGCCTTGAGGAAACTGCATTTTTTGGTGCATCCAAAGGGCCTCTATATCAGTAAATGTCCTCCTAAAGTGGAAAATGTCAAACATGTCAAATTACTACTTATTGTCTTCTCATATCCAGTAAAGGCACTTATACGTAAATATATGAGAAAATGATTTCCAATTTCTTCAGAACGTATTATTACAGTGGTCTAAAGCTCTAGGCAAAAGAAGTGGCATATTATTTTAAACTGGCTCCCATATTATAGTTCTTCATGATTATTATGGTGCAGAGAAGAGAAAATATAATTTTCTCAGTTAACAAGGTAAGAATACAGATATTATTATGGGCACCGAGGCCAATATTGAGTCCACACCTCCAACATTAGTTAAGGTCTCATTGGCCTTTTGTTTGTGTCTAGGTGCATCTTTATTTAGTCTTTTGTGTTGGTGGCCATATGCTTTTTTTCTTTGTTGCATGGCCTTAGGTCTAAGTGGCTTTTTTTCTATTGTGTATTTGATTCAACTCATATGTTCCCTTGTTTGATGTTTCTTTGTTTTCGGTACTAAGGGGCCATTTGATAATAGCTAAAGTGGCTGAATTGAAATCCTTATTTCTTTGTCTTTTAGTGAACAAGTATTTAAGGAGATTGTGGTCTCCTTAATGGCTGAAGCTGAGGTTGGGTAGATTCTATACCCTTAAATATTTATTTATTTAATCATTTTATCCACTCAAAGCTAAAGCTGCAATAAGTTGTTCAGTTCAGCGATTTCAGATGTTATCAAGTGGCCCCCAAGATAACATGTTTAATGATCATTTATATGTCCTTATTGTTCATTATCCTAAGCAAATTATTTACATTCAAAATTGTGCCTCTAGCAGCTGAATGTTTCAAAGATCGGACCGATGTTCAATGTCTACACAGGTGGCAGAAGGTTTTAAATCCAGAACTAGTTAAAGGTCCATGGTCGAAAGAGGTAAAAACTTCTCTTCTTATATGCTATTTTAATTTCAACATTTTCAAGGCTGGAATCCCATCTTATCTTTTTATTTAGTGTGCAATATGATGCAAATAACCCATTAATCTTGCAATATTGTTGAACAGGAAGATGAAATAATTATAGAGTTGGTAAATAAATATGGGGCAAAGAAATGGTCCACCATTGCACAAGCGTTGCCTGGACGTATTGGAAAACAATGTCGTGAAAGGTTTGTATGGTTAAAATGATATCTTTGGGCTTAATGAGTCATCTTCCTTTCCCAATAAGTCAAGGTGCATTAGTCAATTATGTGTTGTGAGTTGTGACTTGCTTAGTATATTCTACTAATATTCCTCTTTTTTATGCCTAAGCTTTCCTTGTACCAGCAACGGCAGTTTAAAACTTGTTGGAATACAATGAGATATACTTCTGATTTGTGTCTAAATTTTAGTTTGGAAGGGACTCAGTACTGCCAAATCTTGAAGTGCCTTCAGAAACCTTACCCCATAGATGGACATCTTAGCAAAACATTGTTTATAATTTGTCATAGAAGAAAGCATTTGGTAGATTTTAAATATTGCCTTGAAAATTGCAGTAAAATTACAGTTGGGGCAATATTTATTGTGTTTGAATGATAGAAAGAAATATTTATAAAAAAAAAATGATAGAAAGAAATGATAAATATAACAACTCTTATCTTGTTTTTTATGAGATTCCTGAAATGACCTAGGAATTTTCAATGTGGTAATTTAATTTACCTTTGAATAAACATGGTGGTTCTTCAATACAACTATATAATCTACATAAAACATCTTTTTAGTTTTTATGTGCATCTCAAAAGTGAATAAGTAAACACATCTGTCATGTTTGTGTCTAACTCTAACATTCCGGAAATCTTAGGGGATAAGTGTCCCATATGTGTAATTTTCATCTACCTTTTCAAATGAAAAGTTTTATCTAGTTGTGATATTGTGACCTTGTTTTACTTGTTAAATAAATGGTATTTCCACTTTTTGTGGCATATTGATGCCACATGACCATTTACTTGGCATGATACTGATTTCAGGTGGCATAATCATCTTAATCCTGCTATAAACAAGGAGGCATGGACCCAAGAAGAGGAATTGGCTTTGATTCAGGCTCATCAAATTTATGGGAACAAATGGGCCGAGCTAACGAAGTTCTTGCCTGGGAGGTATGCTTTCATGGGTTCAAACTAGTATGCAAATTTATCTTATGGTGCAATATGTGTTTGTCTACATGAATGCTGAGATGTCTTCATGGTTTTGTGGCCATCAGGACAGACAATGCAATAAAAAATCACTGGAACAGCTCTGTCAAAAAGAAGTTGGATTCATACTTGGCATCGGGTTTACTTGCACAATTTCAGGGTCTGCCTCCTGTGCGAAACCCAACTCAATGCATGCCTTCATCCTCTATGGGGGTGCAACAAAGTAATGGAGATAAAAATGGTCCCATAGATAGGGCAGAAGCAGGGCAAATATCAGAATGTAGTCAAGGTTCTATTGCTGTTGGTTGCTCTCAGTCTGAGTGTGACATGGTTAGCAACACTGTTTCAGTAAATGCACAAGAGAACCTTAAACCATTGGAGGAATCTAGTCAACGAGAAGGGCAAAGCTCTAATTCATCGTGTTCTGAACCATATTATGTATCTCTAGAAGAAGTCCAAGAAATACATGACGGTGTCAATATTTCTGCCAGTTCCTCTGAAAGGAATGGTCTTCAGGAGGTTGGAAACTCCGACAATAAGAATTGCAAATTTGGCTCACACGAGTTGAGTGCTTCTTTCATAGAAGTAATGCAGGAATCATCAGGGTTCTTTGAAACATCAGGACACTGTATAAATGGCATGGATGAAAACAACTCCATGGGGTTCAATGCTCCATCTTCAATGGAAAATATGATTGTAGGCTCTAATAAACAGGAGAATATGTCAATCGAAGAAGGTGATTTTGGTGGGGTTTCTTTCTCAGGAGCAGGGATGGATGCATGCTTCTCGATGGAAAACCCCACGACATGCCCAAATATTATTGATCTGGATGGGTGCACAGATTCATTTCTTTGTCAATCTAACATTCAAAACTCTGAAACTGCAGGAAATTTAGTTTCTCATTCTTATTATCCACTGGGATCTGCTCCTTTGTTGGGAGGCACCTGCTGTGAGACTTTATTATCTGGTCCTCCACTACTTTGTTCTGCTCCTGAGCTTGTATTTGGTAGTGAATGTAATGAGGCAAGTGACACCCCAAGTGCAAATCAAGACTCAGAGCTTGTTACAAATTCATGTTCTGGCTTTATCTATCCTGATGGCTCTGGTACCTCTCTGTGTAATGGTGATACGAACAAGGTTTGCCAGCCTGTAGAGGCTGAACATGAAAAGGAAACATCAGAATCACTTTTTGACTCGTTAGCCTCAGATACCATGGATAATCTTCCTTCCATGCATGAAGGCATATCTGTGCTAACAGAAAATCAGGATTCTGAAGGTCTATTTTATGAACCTCCTCGTTTCCCAAGTTTGGAGATTCCTTTTGTCAGCTGTGATCTCATCCCATCTGGCAGTGATATGCAGCAAGCATATAGTCCCCTTGGGATTCGCCAACTGATGATGTCTTCTATGAACTGTTCTACTCCATACAGCTTTTGGGATTCTCCGTCTCGTGATGATAGTCCCGATGGTGTTTTGAAAAGTGCCGCCAAAAGTTTCCTATGCACACCATCCATTTTGAAGAAACGGCAACGTGAGCTTTTGTCACCTTTGCATGAACGGAAGAGTGACAAAAAGCTAGAAAGAGACATAAATCAGGGGCTATGCTGTACATCTACTTTGAGCAGGGAATTCTCTTGTTTAGATGTTATGTTTGATGATAGTGGGAGCCGCAGGGCTTCCTTATCTTCCATTGAGGGGTCTCTCTTTTCTCCATCATATTGCAAGAAAAAAAATTCTGGTACCTCTGATGAAGATAAAGAAAATTTGGAGAATGCTTTTGAAGTGAGAAAAGATGGACCTGCATTTCCAGGCAGGGTATCAGAGGTAGCATCTGATAACAGTAATCCTAAGGATAAGATAAAACAGAGAAGCAGTAATGAAATGACAAAGGTTAATGAAGATATAGCAGTCCAAACAGTGAGTCTCTACATATAAACTTTATTTTATACAGTAACAGTAATCACAGATTCGATTGTAGTTATTTTATAAACAAGGTATTGTATTGAATTTATTTTATGTATACCTAATCAACCCTGTTTTGTTAAACTGTAGTTTTTACTTTTTAGTAGGATATATTTTCAGTATATACTTAGTTGCTTAGTTTTTGCTTTTCATGAAAACATGTGCCATTATGTATCATATCATATTTATCATGTAGTTAGAAGCTTCATGACTAGTTGCTTTTGAACTTTTAGATTTCAGAAGCATCATAATGGTCTATTATGATATTTAAAAATTTTTCTTGGTACAACAGGCCTCTGGAGTGCTTGTTGAACACAACACCAATGATACGGTGTTCTTTTCTCCTGACCGTGATGGACATTCAAGAAAGAGAGGCTTAAATTCTGTAAAAACTCCAAAAAGTCAACCTTTTAGAAGCTGTGATGGTACATTTAACCAAAGTGGTCGCTTAGAGTCTTCATCAAGGAGTAGATGTATATCTGTAATTCTATCTCCTACTGTTTGCGAGAAGAGGCATGAAAAAAATTTACTTCCTGATGCATCCCTTCAAAGTGTTCCTTCATTAAATACAATGGAACTTGCATCTGAGAATGCTGGAAATGGTGCTGATATTGAAAGTTTTATCATGTAAGAATCAGTCACTTTTCTTAATTGTCTTTATTCTAATGTGGCAAAAATGTTGGGAAATTTGAGCCATGATTTTATGTTTATAGGGGCAACTTAGAAACTGGTGTGTATGGCCATTACTTTTTATTTGTTCTGTAGTGATCTCTTATTTCAGTTCTGTTTAAATGGTATTTATTATTTAATTTTATTATATCTCTAGCTTATTCTTTGAAATCCGTTTTTATTTTACATGTTTTTTATTCTGAAGTTCTTAATATAGTTGAGAGAGCATCTATTTGTCTGACCTATATTTATTTAACCTGGTTAAAAGGGCTCTCCTATCTTACAGAATGCAGACAAGACATTAAAGAATGGTTATTGCTGATTATATAATAATTTGCAATGTCCATTAGACTTTTCTATTGTACATTATTAAGATTAAGAGCATCAAATTTCAGTTTATTAAACCATAAAGGGCCAATTGCAAACTTAAATCTCTATGCTTTATCATACATGTTCTTAACTCATGGCTCCCAATGCTATGAAGTCTTATTATACAAATATACATGTCTATAGTTTGCTAATTTTGCAATAGTTTGAAGTTTACAAAAGATAACAGTCTTGGCACATGTCATGACAACCAAATGTGTTGTTGCCTTAAGTCTTATTTAGTTTGGGAGTAGATTTGGAGTATATGATTTCTATCTTTACTTCTATAATGCAACGGGCATTTGCCAGTCAATTATTATACTATTTTATGCAGGCTCCATTTGTTGATACATATCATATACTATTTGTACATTCCAAATTTCCAACCATGTTCTTCTTGATTACCTTGTTTTTTAACATTGTTTTTGTTCACTAACAAAGCTTTATAAAGTCTATTGATAAGATACAATTAGTTCATGCATTGCTTCAAGGATCCCATTTCATGAGACCATGTGTCTTGACATTAAAATATTTTCGTTGAACTTCTGTACTCCCATTGAATTAGTGTTTTTCTGAAGCAATATCCGTAGCCAACATTGTATTTCTCATGGTTTAGTTGGCTGGTTTGTTTTTGATTCTAGGTTTGGTGATACCCCTGCTACCAAAAGAGGGTTAGACTCTCCATCAGCATGGAAGTCTCCTTGGTTCATGAACTCTTTTTTGCCTGGACCACGTGTTGATACAGACATAACAATTGAGGTATTACTACAAGTTTGTTTTGCTGATTAATTTATTAAGTTATATGTACACTTAGGTCTATCCTTAGCAAGGGTTAAATGTTCAAACTTTATTTACTTTGCTAGATAAGCTCGGACCAAGCCCATGAGTCTAAGATCATGGTTTGCAAACTTAAAAGTTTGCTGTTTGACATTGTTCTGGTAAACATTAGCTGATACCAGAACAATGGTATCAGACATTGTTCTGTTTGACATCTAATGGATGACAATATCACAAGGGAAATAACATTAGATTTGAGACTCAAGGATAACAACTTGCATGGATGCTTGGCCAGCTGCAATGCAAACATTATACCTTGCCAGGCATTCTAATTATCTAATAAGGATTTCCCTCCATATAAGTTTTGAAAGTGCTTAAATAAACCCATTCGTGTTTGTTTACCTGTCTGGGTTCCAAGAATGAATGTTTCTGTAATATTGTTCTCCTTCGTGGCATTACAATGACTTTGGCTAATGCTATTCCAATTTACATTGCCTCAATTCCCCTTCTTTCATTCACCTAATGCTTTGGAACTTAATGATGCAGGACATAGGATTTTTGATGAGCCCTGGGGATAGAAGCTATGATGCCATAGGGTTGATGAGACAGTTGAGCGAGCATACTGCAGCTGCATTGGCTGAGGCCCAGGAGGTTTTGTCTGGTGAAAATTCTGAAATTCCATCAAAGGAAAGACACTCCAGTAACCAAAAATTGGCCGAGGAAAATAATCAATTCACAGATTACGAGTTGGAGAACCTTATTTCTCTGTCTCCTGCTGTCTTGGTATGATTGTCATTTTTTTTGTCATTCTTGAAGCAATTAATCTTGGGAAAATCTATGCTGCCGGAAAGACATGGTATCAGAAAAGTCTTTGACCAATCAAACCCCTGGGTGTGAATTTTGGTAAATACCACCTGATTGGTTGCCACTTTTATGATACCGGTTGATTGGTTACAAGGTTTTGGGGTATCATAGTTGAACCCATTGATCTTTGTTGCCTGTCTTTAATATAGCACTAAAATCCAAAGGTGCTGGTTACCAAGTTTGGCTGATTAATTCAATGGGATTGATTGCATCACTCTCTGTTCATGATTTACATAGTGTTACAACATAGGGTCCATCTGGTTTTGTTGCACTGCCATTCAACATGGTATCTGGGCAATGTTTAGTCCTTGATACAATTTTTTTACAATTTGGATTTTGTCTTGCTTACGTTAAGAAGGTTCAAAACTTTGAATTAGGAACCTTGCTGAACTGACACTATTCTTTCAATATCGGTTTCTTTTTTATATTCTCATGGTTTGCAAAACCTAGAATGAATTGATTTGGTGACATTATTTTTTCTCATCTTGTTAATTTATCTTACACACTTCTCAGACGGAGAGGCGGGTCCTCGATTTCAGTGGATGCGGGACACCTGGAAAAGGAGCAGAGAACGGGAAACCTATGGCCTTTCCTTCTGGAGTAAGCTTTTCTAGCCCTTCTTCCTACCTGATGAAAGGCTGCAGGTAGCAAGCAGATTTTTGGCAGAAAATGCCTCTTCTGTTCTATGTTACTAAATATATATATTTTTTGTTCTTTTTTTCTTTTTCATTGTCACATTTCTGTATCTGATTTAATAATAAATTGATAATGAGTGGTGTAGAGGGTTCGGCTATTTTTTGAGCTTAGGAGAAATTTATAATCAAACTGTGTTTTATATCAAATATTCCATTTGCAATCCCGTCTGTTCTTAGCATGGAGAACATAGATGGTGATCAAGTCTGAATGCAGAAGTAAGAGCATTCAATATTTTGAACAGTGAAAACTGAAAAGTAAAGCCATTTCCCGAAAAAAAACCACAAGGAAAAGTGCTAATTGAAGGCATATTTTGCAAGTAATTGACAATCTCAAGGAAGAAGCATAAAAATCTCAAGGGGATACAGGTTTTGTAGGGCTGCTGGCAAGGTTTATTGATGCATATCGTACTGTATTGTATCATAAGTGCCGGTTTTCAGGGTCACCAATATGGGAAATGGAAATACAGACTTTCAGTAAATTTAATAATAATAATAATACTTATTTGCAAATTATTAATCAGAAAATATAAACAAAAGATCAATATGAAGAAGCGCTTGAGTATATTAGCCTGAAAATTGGATAAGAAGTTTTTTTATTCAACAGAGTTGATTTTATTTATATTAAAGGACTTCAAAATCCTAAAAAATCGAAAGATCTCCCTATGATGTGAGAAAAGAGGAGAGAAGTAAAGAAAAAGGTATTTATTATATAAAATTTTATCGGGTCGGCTTGAGCCTGATCCCACGAGCCTAAAATCATGTCCTAGCCCGAAAACGAATGGGCTGGGCTTGGCTGGTCCATTGGACTATCCAACCCATGAGCAGGTCTGCTTAGAAGGTCATTACATTTTGATAGTATTTTTGAGCCAAGGGAATTAGGGAATGCATAGTGATTCATGTAATACAAACTATAAGGAATTTAACAATGGATATGGCAGTTCACAGAAAGGAAAGAGAAAACAAGATTCATGTAGTTTGTCGTATTCTCCTATGTAGTTGGGGACAAAGCTTAGGTGATCATGATATTGGATTTTATTTTGGGGTCTCATTTCACCATCATCTAGAGTTTTATGCAATAGGGGAGCTCATTTCACCATTAACCAATCTTGGAAAACTAGCATATTCATTCGTTTGGTTACACGCGATTTGTAGATCCTTAGTGGTGATAGACAAATGGTAGGAGCAAGAATGAAATCATTTAAAAAATCTGCTCATTTCACCATTAACCAATTGCATATGCTGAGTGGAAAAACTAAAAATGGTAGGAGCAAGAATGAAATCATTTAAAAAATCTGGAGTAGCTTCAACAGGTGATAAAATGTGAAAAAGCAATTAAGATGGTTTATTCACCTGCATGAAAGACCATGTATAATACCTTTGAGAAGAAGTGATATGTTGCAAATTGAAGGGATTAAGAACGGTGGGGAATAGAGAAAAACATATATGGGAAAAGTAGTACAAAATGATTTAAACCCCAACAAACAGGGTTTTCATGTGGCCTACCCAGTTTTACTTATTTTGTTTTAATAGGTGAGATAAAATGTTTGGATGATGATTTTTATAGGAGGGCCTGGAGGCTCAACACATCGAAAAAATTTGGGGTATTGGGAACCTTCTTGAACATGACACGTTACCTTGGCGCTTGGGTGTAGGGTAAAAGAGTAATTGCATTGGATATTTTTTTTTATGGAGTACGGACAGGCCCAATGCAGATTTTTGATTTCCACTGAAGAGCTATAAACATTCAAAATGGCAATAACCCATATTCTATGCATCAATGCCCGCCCATGAATTGGCATCAATTCCGAGTTTTTTTTTACCAAAATTCCGACCCTGGGCTGAACCGTCTTTCTCCCTTTTTTTTTTACCAAAAAAGACTAACAGGGTACTGATTGGATTGACGTGTCATGCGGAAAAGTTCTACAAAAGCAACAACCCCCAACTTCCAAAGTTTTATACGATACTAGGAGACCTGTGCGGGATTTGTTAAGTTAAAGATAAATAATAGAAACATATAAAAGTATACAATTGTTTTATATAATAATTAATCATCATTTATATTTTTATATACTACTTTTAATAATTTTTTTACAATATAAAAATAACAATAATTAATTTTAAATAGGGTTGTTTATCAAACTTAGGGACGACAATTTCCCCATTTCCCTAATCCCCATGAGGACCCGCCCCAAATGAGACAGGTATTGGGATGATTTTCTTTCCACTGGAACGGAGACGGGGAAATTTTCATCTCCGTTGGCGGGGATGGGAAGAGCACTCCTTGCCTCGCGGGGACCCCGATCCCCGTCCCATGGGATTCTTGTTAATATATGTATATATGTATACATATATTTATATGTTAATATTTTTAAAAATATGGTTGAATATGTTTGAATCTTTTCTAATAGGATTGTAAATTTTAATTATTTTATTTTTATTTTTTAAATAAAATAAAAACAAAAACAAAAACATAATGGTTGACATTATAAAGAATCACGGGGAGTGGGAATCCCCATGGAGACAGGGATGGGGAGAGGCTCCTCGTCCCCACTTGCCCCGTTGCCATTCCTAATCAAACTAATGAAATTGACTAACCCGATTTCTAGTATTTCCAATCAACTTTGGTTCAACAATTTCCTAACCCGAATGGGTTGGATTAGTTTCTCTTTAGCCATTTGTAAATTGACTAAAATCGAATGACCCGATCGGAAATATATATTAATATTTTATATTTTAAATATATTTTTTAATACAAGAAAATGGAAAAATTCCAATATTTCCTAGGTTAAAATATTTTAGATCATAAATTTATTTATTTTTAATAATGCCACTGTGATTTTTTATAAAATTTAAATTTAATTTTTTAATTTTAAATCTTTCGAACAGGTCGACCAAATCGAAAATTTACTCAAACCGATGTAACCTGAGTGACCAACTCCCCAACCTGACCAGTTTGGACTATGGCTCTAAATAATGGCCTTTCTAAGGAGAATCTTATGAGAAGGGGAATCCAGGTTTCAGACTTGTCTTGCAGTTTGTGTGGTAGTAGTGCTGAATCCACTAATCATTTGTGCATCCACTACCCGTTTTCTGCTAAGTCTGGAGGACCTAACTCACAAGTTAGTGGGCAAGCTGATTTCTTGGCTGTCTGTGACTACAGATTTTAGAAACTGTAATGTGTCAGATGTATTATTTTTTGTTTCTTGATGGTTCATGTATTTGTTGTTTAGATCAGTCAACCTATTCTGGGACTGATCTCAGCCTCTTGTGTGTATCTCTTTCTCAATAAATATTACTTTACCTTTTTCCAAAAAAAAAAAAAAACTCCCCAACCTAACTAGGTTGATTTGGTTGGCAAAACAACTTACAACTAAACCGAACCAACCCGTGAACAATAGTTTAATCTCCAACAATTGTTAAAAATGTATAGCAAAAATGCACAATAAATTAAATTTAAAAAGCTAAATAACAGTAGTTTAAACTCCAATAATTATTGATTATGTTATATTAAATAACTAAACAAAAATAGATTTATACACAATTATTGAAAATATATTTATCAGAGAAAATAATAAATAATTATTGAAATACAATAAATATTAATTTTAGTATATGTAGGTTTTCAAGACTGCTATTCAGTCTTGATCACTAAGAGATTTTAGGTTCGATGAGAAGAGAAAGTGAAGATGTAGAAGAAAGAGTGATGGAAGAGCAATTGAACACAGATTTTGAGGAGAAGAACGGAATGTCAATATTCTGCCGCCGCCACTTTTAAGTTAATATATATAGGTTATGCTAGTTACATGAAAGGACATATCTGCCCTTGGTGTTTACATCATAACTGCTAACAAATAACAATCAATATAAAACTGAAACTAGAAATAATAGAACAACAAAATAACTACA